GAAGATAAAATAAAAAAGTAACATAAAATTAGTACGTTAAACACAGCTATTTTTCAGCCAGAACATGTTGAAATTCCAGTGTGGCAACATTCCAGCATTCCACCTGAAATGTTGGTCTACTGACAGATAGCATGAAAAAGTATCATTAGCCAGTATGTAGTACTGGCAATCGATCAGTAAAAACACTATTCTATGTTCAGTCACCATATGCATACTGGCAGTTATTTTTTTTTAGAAAAAGAGCACTTATGTCACCCATACACAACTTCTCCAAAAAGAGAATCATTTAGCTGTATCCAAACATATACCATATTGGTAACATAACCAATTAAATTATTACAGCATATTTATCTTAGCATCAGAATATTGACTCAAGATGTCATTGGGACTAAATAACAATTTTTTCATCTATCTTTGTTTCTTTGTATTCTCTAGGTATGTTTCTTTGTATTCTCTAGGTATGTAGTTAATATACTAGAATTTATACTCTAAGTGTTATTTTTGTTTTTATTAATAATAATTTCAGCCACTCAGTTTTCAATCCTTTTAAAAATCATTCTAGAAGTTATATTCTCTGTTATTAAATAAATTTTAAATATTTTTTTCCTGAAAAAGTCTTAAACAAATATAAAAAATTGTATAATAAAAATAATCTAATTTTTTTTAAAATATAAAAAGTAAATGCTATTTTGTATTGTGAATGAAAATAAAAAAAATAAATTAATTCTATTTCTTCAACACAAATGCATCAATAACAAACATTAATAGATAGAAGAAAATGATTTAACATATTTCTTTAACAAGTACAATCATTATTCATGCTGAAGATGGTGACTTATTTGTCCCTAAACAAAATATAAACTAACCCCTTCAACTAATAATTTAAAATGACAAATATAATAATCAAAAATCAATACTAATTTACCATTAACCCTTCAAACCACAACATGTTGATAATGTCTTGTTTAAGACATTGTGCATAGATGATGCAAAAATGTACTTCGAACTTCAATATTCTTTATTCATAGTATATGTCACCACTTATGGGTTAAGTAGCCTCTCTAAACTAACCATTTAGTTGTTTATGAGCTTTGAATAAAGTGATATCGTATTTGCAGTGTACTTGTCACTATAAAAAATATAAATAAAGATATTTTGGCATCTCTGTTGCAAAAATATCTTTATTTAACAATGTCATAGGTTTCAATAAATTCTTAGACTTATATTAGTTTGAAAATATACCAAACAGCTTTCAGGATGCCTATATTTTCATAATGTTTCTAGCTGTCATATAGCTTAGAACCAGAAGGAATTGAATGAAGATTAAGAATAAGTTGTGAGGGAACTAATAGAAGAAAGAGAATAGCCAGAAGAGAGTGAAACTGAGTCAAAAGAGCAAGAGATTATAGAAGATAATTGACAGTGGCTCCAAACAATTGGCTGATGAGATATATGACTTTTTTGTAGAAGACAAGAATAGTAGAACAAAATTGATCTGTCAAGAATGTGGTAAAAATGTCTGTAAGAATCACAGTGACATAATCACTAAATGTGCCATGTGTGTAGGCAAACAAGAGATGAAGATGGAGTGACCAATTTTTAATTAGATACTTTATAACTGTGTTTGCTCAATAAAAAGTTTTAAGATTAATTCCCTTTTTTACGAGGGCTATTTTTTAAATAAGGTCTGTTTGTGAATGAGAGTGAGAATGACACGCGATTGCAGAAGTGCATGAGCATCTGCTTACAGCATGCTTTGCGCGTGTTTAGATGCCATTTGCAGCAGTATCGTCTGTCTGTGTGCTGAACTGTAGAGGTTTATAATGTTTAAGAAAACTGAATCGCCCACCGACTGTAAGATACAATCTGTTATTCGATTTCAGCACAAAAGATCATGGTAACTGTCTTTTGGGACAGGAAAGGGACTTTGTAGTGGATTTTATGCCAAAAGGCACAACAATCAATTCTGATGCTTATTGTGTGATCTTAGAAACTCTGCCATGCCATACAAGACAAGTAGCATGACCTAATGTCTTTTGGCGGCAGGTGGCAGATTTCTTTGAAGTCAGAATTTAAAAAATTTTTGCGTGTTATGTATGACAAATGTTTGAACAAAAATGGAAATTATGTAAAAAAGTAGATAAAAGTATGTAGAATATGGAAAAAAATATATTTTAATGATACTTACAGTATTTTTCTTCTTATTAAAAAACGGTCCTTATTTAAAAATAGCCCTCGTATTTTATTCATATTTTCAAAAAAAAAATTAAATATTGTAGAATATGAAGTAATATTACAATTATATTAGAATCAAAAAACATGATATAGGTATATCTTGTTTATTGATTTTATATTATTCATTTTAATTTTTATTGTGCTTATATCATTAAGTATCAATATAAAAGTAAAATCAGGTTGGTTAAGGCAAATGATAGAAGATAAAATAAAAAAGTAACATATTAAAAACAAAACACTAATATTTAAAAAAAATGTTCTTTTATGTTAAAATATGACAAAGTATTTTAAAAGTTTATTTAATCACTGGTTAAGAATTATTGAACAATCCATATGGAATAGGATAATTGATTATTTACACCCAGAAGTTGATGGGATATGTTATAAGTTCATTTGAATTAATGAATATCCTAATTGCTTTCCTGAATTACAAACTGACTTCTGTACACAAATACAATTTCAATCATTTACAATTTGACTTTTTTTATACAAATCAAATAAACATTGTATTATAAACAACGTATATGAGTATAAACAAAGATTGTTTATGAGTATTAACAAAGATAATACTCATAAAACAATAAAATATAAATTCATAACACAACTCATTATTTAAAAATCCACTATTGTCTCAATATAATAGAGATTATATTGAGACAATAGTGAGAGAGAGAGAGAGAGAGAGAGAGAAAGAATGAATCATAGCTTCATTTTAGAAAATATGCAAAAGAAATTAAATTCTTAATTGCATACAACAGTTTAATTAAAAATATAATTAAAAAAACTTTTTCTTTTTATAAAAACAAATTTTTTCATTTTATAAAATTCATTTTCCTATCTTTTATAATCATTTTTAAAATATTTATATTATTTGAAAGAAAAGAATATAAAAAAAAACATTCTCTTTCAGAAATAAATCTGTTGTCTATGGAAATGAGATTACTAAAATCAAATTCACAACAAAAGCTTAAAATTATTTTCTGAAATAATTGTAGTAAGTTAGGAGTGGAAACTAAAATAAATCTTCAAATGAATTTTCTCAAGAGAGAATGGGGAAAGAGAGAGAGGATAGGGAGAGAAAGATAGAAGACTACACAGGGCACAAGAAAAGCATCAAGAAATATAGAAAAATCAAAAAAGTTTCAAATTATATGTTCAAAATTACTAGCACTTGCATCTTCTACAATCATTTTGAAAAACAAAACAAAAGAACTAAACAAGTAACAATTTATGAAGAGAAAACAATTAAAAAAAATGTTACAAATCACATTTTTTTATCAATGTTAAATCTAAAATAACTTTATATTATGACAATAGAACAAACAAAATTAAATCCAAATTTATTTGCTGATAAAATTTTACATTCATATTTTTAAGTTATAAATTAAACAATAACAATAATAAAAATCAACATAATATTAATCCTTTTTTCTTAAAATTAAATAAGTATTGTATTAACATTTAATTATTTCTTTGATTCAATGTAAAAATTTTTGATTTTAGATGTAAATATATGAACAGGGCTTAAAGCAGTCATGGCATTGAAAAAAAGTGAAAGAGGGTTAACACTGAAAAGAAGCTAAAAAAGCTAATAGTGTTAAAGTGAACTAAAAGAGGCATTATTAAAAAAACACACAAACACACACACATTTTGTATCAATAACATTGCATATGATATTAGATTGATTTTTAATTGGACTGAAAAAATTAAATATGAAAATACAAGGGTCATTCTGAAAGAAAAGAACGTTTTGATCTGACGAGCCATGCAGTTCTCCCACCAACCCCCACTGCCATGCCATGGACCTTCCCATTTTTTCGCTCCATATCTGATGCTATCAGCAAGCCATAACGATCATTTACTATTTACAGTGTGACTTTGAAATGTGTGACAAAATTAAAGATCCCACCAAGTGTAAGGTTTGTAGTGTAATATGCTTTTTGAATGCAAAAAAAGTCTGCCCTATCAAAATTTATAGACAGATAACTGAGGTTTATGGTAATGTGATGAATGAAGCTTCAGTTCGAAACAAATGACAGGGATTGTTGTCCAGAGGCATTGTGCTTTTTCAGGATAATGCATGTACGCATGCTGTTGCATTGATGAAGAACTTGCTTCAGCAGTTTAAGTGGGAAGGTTTTGATCATCCTTCTTATATCCCAGGCTTGGCTCCGAGTGATTCCCATCTTTTCCCAAAATTGAAGGATTTTTTGGCCAGGAATCACTATGGAAGTGACAACAAACTGAAAGAGGCCATTAATGACTGGTTCAAGAACTTAGCGGTAACTGAGTGTGCAGAAGGCATAGAAAAGGTTGTGATATGCTATGACAAATGTTTAAATTTCTATGGCAACTATGTAGAAAAATAGCTAAGGTAGCGTATGTGTTGAAAAATAAGTTTTGTTTCATTATCTTAAATAAAAATATCTAGAGAAACAAACGTTCTTTACTTTTAGAATGACCCTCATAGTTAGGCTGAGTTTATACTCCAGAAAAGTGACCAGTAAGACTGCATTAAGCCATAATGGGCCTGCATTAAGTTTTCATGTGTCCTGTACAGAGTTCCTACCATTATACAATAAAGGAAATGGAAGAGTAACATAACTACCAGAATGTGTCTCCATATAACATGTCAAATTTCAAATGCCATTTATTTCAAGGTACAGTTTTTGATTTCTTGTTAAAAAAATTTGTAATTAAAAGATGATTTTCTTTTGTTTAAGACATGCTGCAGTTTCTGCACTTCTTTTGTTTTCTCCTCTTCATCACACCGAATTTTCTTCACACCAGAGTAAGCAATTCACTATGAAGTTTACATATTAAAGGATCATTGCACTGAAAATGCCCAGAAAACTTTGTGAATAGTTCAGCACTAGATATTCCCAAATAGAGTTCAGCTTTGATGGTAGAACACTTCAATGACTTTGAGATTATCTTATATGAAACACTATTCATTAAGCTTGAATTCTTGAGGAATGTGCTTTAGGAAGTACAGTGGTACCTCAGGATACGAAATTAATCCGTTCCGAAACTGAGATCGTATCATGAAAATGTCGTAAGGTGGATCATCTTTTCCCATACGATTACATGTAAAACCAAATAATTCGTTCCAACGCGAAAAACATACTCAAATTAAAGCCAAGTAATACATTTAAAAAAATAACTGTATTAAGAAAAACAAATGAAAAATGCGAACTAATGTAACGTCGTATGGTGAGTTTTTGTTCATATCGTGGAGCAAAAATATGTTCGAATTTCATGTCGTATCCTGAAAATTTCGTATGCTGGGACGTTCGTAACCTGAGGTACCACTGTACAAGCTATTACCCATGACTTCGCATGTGTGGATTTTGCAAGCAAACCCCATTTATATTCAGTATTTCAACAACCATAGTAATTATCATATAACACCTACCGCTGAGAATGATGAGAATTGCCGAGAATCAAACAAACTATTTTCAATTTGATCAATTTTCTGGAACAGTTACAATTGTTCTATAATTGAACCAATATGCAATAACAAATTCGAATTTAAAACGATTCAAACATTTGGTTAAAAAATCGAAATATATAAAAATATTTATAACAATGTCTGAAATGTTATCAATTTAATTCATATACCTAAGTACTCAATGAAGACTAAACATAACTGAAAACAAAATATCGCATCTACAATAGTACAGTAGAAGCCATTCTTCAGGTTAAGCCTTAATCCTTTCCCTCTCCCCCTGTGGAGAATTTTCAAATTTCTTAGTGTGTGTTTTCATGATGTACCCTAACTGTGTACAAAATTTCACCTCTAGGTTCAGCAGTTTGCTCTGGGTGATGATGAATCAATCAGTCAATCACTCACTTAGGACAATTTTATATATTTAAGTAATTTTATATATTTAGATAATATGAGTCATTCCCATTGTTCGATCAATTGTTTTGCTGCAAGACCAAATGTCAGTCATCTAGTTGATGAATACTTCATAAATTTGTTGCATGGCAAATTAAGTTTCTCTTGAATTTCTGTGTATTCATCTCACCTAGAGGGCCACCCATCATAAAAGTTGTGTTGCTATGATGAGATCACCACCATCTCCACCCAACTCTTTCAGGCCTTTCAAAAAGGCATTGTGGATTGTATGAATGCTGCAAGTCCCTATGTTGATGAGGCCTTTTTTGCGAGTTGGCAGAATTTCCTCATTTATGAGATGCAATACTTTTTTGTTTACATTTGGTTCATTGCATCCAATCATCAGTAATTTATCAAAAGGTAGATATGCATCTTCAATTGCCAGTATTATTTTTGATTTAATTGTTTCAACATCTGCATGACCAATAAATGAGGTCTGGATATGCCTGCAGACAAGTTCCTGTTGTTCCTCTGACCAGTATCTAATCAGTATTTTCAGTTATTTTCTGTCTTCTATATTGCATGTCTCACATTAAAATTCTATAATATGACCATTGTGCATGATCTACCATTTGATCAAAGAAATATGGGGCCAAAGCTTCAGTGATTAAGTATCTCATTTTTTGATGTGACAATGAGAATTCTTTTGGAAGATTGTCTGCACACTTGGCACTGATTGTCTCCTTTATATCATGACATGATGCAAATGAATAATTGCTGGTTGTCATTTTTATAGTCCATATAAAGCTCTGCAATGTAAGCACTGTTTGCACTACAAAGTTGAAGCACTGGTTGTTGAATGATTGGTGTTCTGAACTGGCACCTGAGTCTACAACATTGCTCACATTAGCAACACTTTTAGCATTAATACTTTGACATTGAGACATCTGAGGGGCAGTCGTCAGTCTTAACTGCTTGGGACCAAAGACTTCATTGCATTTATTTATATGTTTTGTGCAGCTTGAATGTTGGAGGATTGCATATGGGGGTGTGCTAGTCGCTATTTTGCTCCTGAACGCATTTACAAAAATAAATAAATAAATTCCACTTGGAAAATGAAAAAAGCTAAAAAAGCAAGTTTGCCTCAGAAAAAGCTAAAAAAGAGAGGAGCTATGAAAAAAAGATAAAAAAGTGAAAAAAGTGAGTCACTTTAAGCCCTGTATGAATAAAAACATTTAGAACTTACACACAATTTGACTAACATCTCACAAAATTAACAAACTTGTAATAAATTTATGAATATAAATTATATATTAATACCATTCTTATTTGTAAAGATTCATCATTTATTATAGGAATATAAAGTATTATTTAAAATCATTATAGCAAAAACCTAATAGTTAAATAATACTGTAGTAAAAAAATAATTATTATTATAATCAAATGAAGAAGTAAAGAGAAATTTTGGCATTTAATTATAAATTTATATATAAAATTTATAATTAAATGCAATAAAATAATAATTTAACATAGTAATTTTATATAATTATTTTGCTACAATTATTGATTTATAGTATTGCAATGCTTTCTAATAACAGAATAATTTCAACAACTAAAAAAATATTTAATAATGATGATATAATTCCAATTTACATCATAAAATATAGCAAACTTTCATAAAAATTAAAGAGACGTTACTTACAGCACCCTTTTTACCAGAGAAACTGAAAAATGTATCAGGACCTTGCCTTAAAGGAAGTTGTCTCAAAACAGTTAATAANTTAACAATTAAAAATATAATATTTAAATAAAGATTTTTTTTTAAATATATAAATTTCATTTATTTTTACAATTTCAAATTTATGAAAAATATATAAAATCTATTACTTCGTTTATTTTTCATGATAATTTAATTACAATTACCCATTTTCCTGTATCTGCCTTCATACACCCAATCAGTAACTTTAATTCTCGGACTGTTATACTATAGCTTGCTAACACACCTAACATTTCAATCAAAAGATCTATAAAAAAATTGAAAAATTACAATTAGCACTATTATTGTTATAAATTACAAAGTTTAAGTAAATTAAAAAAGTATTTATCAATTTCTGCATTTTATCATTAAAGATTATAAAAATAATTTTAATATACACATCAAAACTACCTATACATAGTAGAACATCAGTTTAACAAATATCTGAACTTAGCTGATAAAATAGTCCCATCCCAACATACTAATAGGAATAATAATGTATTTTTACCTTGATAAGCATATCTAAAAATATTACAAATATTTAGGAACAATAGTAAGAGAAGATTTAGATCCAAAGGAAGAAAAAGCACAAATGGTCTTTTGTGGACAACAGATAAAACTTTTTCGATTGTTTGGAGAATAGAATGGTGCTAAGTGAACATTACAATGAATTACAGTAGACCCCCCTATAAAACGGGTTCATATAATTCGGATTCGTATACAATGGCGAAAAAATTGCAATTGTATTTGCATAAACACACTAAAAGAGAGACTTCTATATAATGGTAAAACGTCATTGCCAACTTGTGTCATGACAGGATTGGTTGAATTTACACCAATAGCGGATATTGCACAAACCGTTGAGTTTAAACGAGCAGCGGACCTACTAAAAACCATTTATTATTTAACGTCCATAAAAATTATATTTATATTAATGATGTCTCCAAAGTTCAGCAAATTTTTCACAGAAAAATAATTTATCAGGAAACATGCACACCCCCGTTCAATGCGCTGCTCCACAACAAAAACAAGCTTAAGCAATGGCGTCGTCGAACGGTGCACACTCAGTAAGTAATCCTACAATTTTTTGTTTATAGCATAGTTTATATGGATTATTCCCAAAAAATTATACGTATTTTGGAAATGTTGAGTC